ATATAGTAAACTGAGCAACACAACAACAAATATTGCAAAAAGGCAACATGTGCAAAGATAAATGCAGTAAATGACACTAATCACCTTGGAACAGCGGAAGATAATCGAAAGAAAAATGGACCTGCTTCTTTAGGTCAATGATAGATATTTAAAAGGTTTTACAGCTAAAAAAGTTGGGTTATTCTGTCACACAGCACAATATCCTTGGCATTTTTTGTCTTAATATTTAATTGATCAACGGAAAAGAAAGTTTTTCTGTAAAGGTACATTATTTCGTAATGTCTTAATTTTAATGATATTCGTAAGACCGTCATAAGTCATGTCGCGAGATGTCTTAAATTTAAGATAAAAGTTATGATATATCGTAAATAAGGACACTTTCAAAAACATATCTTACGACTATGACATGTCCTAACACCATCGTAAGACATGTCTTAGTCATAAGATACTTTCGAAAACCAGGCCCCAGGTTTACAATTTCGCACACGGGTTTTGTTAACATAAGATTCATCACTGGCTCTCGAATCAAAACAGCTAAATCAAATCCGAAGTTAAAGAGCAGTAAAAACTGAAAATGTCGAATAAAAGATTTGCCAAATACGGCAAAGGCATCTTTGTCTGGGGGTAGAAAACTCTTGTTGTTTCGAATAATTCAACATTTTAAGAAAGTTAATTTACATTCAACACAAAAGTGCTGTCTACTGGGCTGATGATAATCTTGTCAATCAATAATTAGTCTTCTCTTTTGAATTATTTCACATTATATCATCTTAGTTTTTTTTTTTTTTTTTGCATATTGCTATATTATAATTTGGTAATTGTTTAAGGCCGTATGCGAGTGGTTTACTCGTATGCGAGAAGCCCGATCATACAATTTCACATTCAGATATATTGATGATATTCTTTCCATTAACAATCCAAATTTTTCTGATTGGGTTCCATTAATATATCCTCCAGAACTAGAAATTAAAGAAACAACAGACACGGCTTCCTCCGCCTCATTTTTAGACTTATACCTCGAATTTGACATAAGTGGTCATCTCAATACCATAATCTATGACAAGCGAGACGACTTTAATTTTGAAATTGTAAATTTCCCCCACCTTAGCAGCAATATACCAACTTCGACTGCATATTGGATATACATTTCCCAACTCATTCGGTATTCAAGAGCTTGCAGATTCTATTTCGACTTTATAAAACGTCAACAGTGTCTGAGCAGAAAGTTGATGAACCAAGGTTATGTCAAAGAACGTCTCGTCCTGTTTCTAAAAGAGTTCATTGGAAGATACCAAGACCTTGTTGATAAATATTCCGTATCAACTTCACAAATAATACATGATGGTCTCGAAGTATAGATTCTAGGTACTGTCGTTGTTTATCATCTTAATTACGTGTTAAAAAAGAGGGACAAAAGATACCAGAGGGACAGTCAAACTCATAGATCGAAAACAAACTGACAACGCCATGGCCAAAAATAAAAAGACAAACAGACAAATAATAGTACAGATGACACAACATAGAAAACTAAAGACTAAGCAACACGAACCCCACCAAAAACTGGGGTGATCTCAGGTGCTTTTTTGATAAAGTTCCCCCTTTTTTGTCCTTGTATATTTTTAACCTTTACTGTTTATCCATTTTTGATTATATACTTATGACGTGGATCAGTACTTATACATCCCGCCATTATGATATGATAAATTTTGAGTTCTTATCTTTCACTTTTGCTTATGTACTTTGTTTATATGCAATTTTGAGTTTCTTTGTTGAAACAGTTTGTTTTTATAGTAATTACGATTATATTACAATGTTGACTGCTGTACCTCAATTTTTGACGTTTTTACCTATTATGTCTGTTTGTTTTGCCCACACATTGTTGTCAATATTATGGAATTCTATGCGACTGTCATACAAGTGTGAGGTTTATCTAGCTATAAAACCAGGTTAAATCTTCCATTTTCTACATAAGGAAATGTCTGTACCTAGTCAGGAATATGACAGTTGTTTTCCATTCGTTAGAGATGTGTTTGAGCTTTTGATTTTGCCATTTTATAAAGGATTATCCGTTTTGAATTTCCCTTGGAGTTCGGTATTTTTGTTATTTTACTTTTTACATCCTTGTTCATTGCTCGTTTGTTAGATATTTGTATCATTGTCAATCATGCCGTATCTCATATCATACCGCTATATTGACATGGGCAAACGATAGTTAAATGTGCGGCCATAAATCAGACATTAGTTACAATTCATAGGATATTGGTTATCAGAATATTAATCAAACTGATCAATCAGTCCTTGTATGCCAGTTCGCATCCTTGATAAAATGTACCACAGGACTATCTATCTTACATTGCAACACCTCTCTGTTGACAGAAAGAAGACTACTGGATTTGGGAATTGGGAACTGCGACACCTTTATCTTACAACTAAGGTGTCGCAGTTCCCAATTCCCAAATCCAGTAGTTCTCTTTCTGTCAACAGAGAGGTGTTGCAATGTAAGATTGATAGTCCTGTGGTACAACTCTGAACCGCGGCGTCAACACAGCTATGGTCATCGTTATAATGCATAACATACCCTGCATAATTAGAGTTTTCAGATCGGTTGGCATTTAAAAAAAGATAAAACGTTTTTGTCTGTATCCCATTATATTAACTGATTCATAAAGGAATTCGGCGTTGGAAATTCTTTTGAAAACTCAATGAATATTCCCACGACGTTTACTAAAGAGGAAATTCTGAACAATCATAGGTTGGCTGTATGTTCCTTTGGAATTTCAACCAAAACTGAAGAACTAGATCTTCTTTCATTTCACTGGATACCACAATTACCGAGGTAATCTTACACACAATGTTATATTGCTAGATCTGCCAACTGCCCTTTCAAAATTATTAACACCTATTGAATAAGCGACTGAACAGGGCGTCAGAGGTACTGTAAAACTATCTACCTTAAAGGAGGTGTTAATTAAATATGGATACTAGATTTAAAGATTAAAAGATTTTTTATAATTACAATATAAGATGATCTTTATCTTATAAAACAGAAAGACCAACGCAGAAACACATATCTTGCTTTTATGAAGGGGCAAAGCAACCACACAAACCACTCGGATTAAACCAGAAAGTTCACGAATACTGACATCATTAAAGAGAGACGAAAGATACCGAAGGGACATTCAAACTCATAAGTCGAAAATAAACTGACAACGCCATGACTAAAAAAGAAAACGACAAACAGAAAAACAACAGTACACAAAAGATAACATAGAAAAACTAAAGTATATATACTCCATGTGCATGCGCTGCTGGACTTTTGATACATAAAAATGGAAAGTTCACAATTGGGAAGCTGAAATCATTTTATTTGTCGTAAAGTTTTGTTCTCAATCGAATCTCGTTGTAGAAAAGACGAATGTTTTAATATTATTGCAAGAGGAAAGATACTTAAATTGTATGCACTCTAACAGATCTTTGAAATTTTTGAGTATCCAAATATGATTCATTCCGCATATAGAGTATGTAGCTTCACAATAACTTTGAAGCCCGATTCGATTGCTGATAAAATTGATGTTAATAATTTTGAAAGAGGTTTCGTGAAGACTCATCAATATAATGTTGTTTAAGGACACTTACTAAGCGTGTTAAGCAAGAATATTTTTGCAAAGAATTCCGCTCAAGCCGGTTCTAGGGGCCGTCTTATGTTTTTGGGTTTTTTTTGCTCCTTGTTGAAGGCCTCACTGTGACTTTGAGATAAGGAACAGCAATAAAAGCGCTGTTCCTTTGCTTTTTATGTGTTTTTTGTTGTGCATGTACTGATTTTGTGTCATGGATGGATACTCCATATCCTTTGTTTTTTTTAACTATAAATAATTAATTGTTTAGGTTTTAGGGCCAAGATAGGCATGTTCGAATCTCGTTGTAGAAAAGACAAATGCTTTAATACTATTGCAAGAGGAAAGATACTTAAATTGTATGTACTCTGACAGATCTTTGAAATTTTTGAGAATCCAAATCTGATTCATGCCGCACCTAGAGTATGTAGCTTCACAATAACTTTGAAGCCCGATTTGATTGCTGATAAAATTGATGTTTATAATTTAGAAAGAGGTTTTGTGAAGACTCATCAATATAATGTTGTTTAAGGACACTTACCTAGAGTGTTAAGCAAGAATATTTTTGCAAAGAATTCCGCTCAAGCCGGTTCTAGAGGTCGTCTTAAGATTTTTTTTTGCTCGGTGTTGAAGGCTTCACTGTGACTTTGAGATGAAGAACAGCAATAAAAGCGCTGTTCCTTTGCTTTTTATGTGTTTTTTGCTGTGCATGTACTTATTTTGTGTCATGGATGGATAACCCCATATCCTTTGTTTTTCTTTAATTATAACTAAATAATTGTTTAGGTTTTAGGGCCAAGATGGGCATGTTCGTATCTTTGTTTTACTCCATCTCCCTAAAGAGAACATATAATTACTCAACTGTCGATTAATGTCATTTCCAAAACAGTATTCTATGTATTTAAGTATATTTTCTTATTCAGCGCTTAACGTTTGTTGTACAGTGTATTTTGCAAGTTTTTTTGCCCATACTTCTTCTCCTGAAAAAAAAACTGTTCATAGGACTCTGTGCTCCAAGTAGGAAATTACATGTGGTAAAGTTTGCTAATGTCATTCAATTAAGGTGACTATAAATGTTTTTTTTTCTCTCAAAATGTTCTAATTGTCAATGCAAATTCTGTTTTATTGTATAAAATTTATAGAAAATCACCCAACTCGTTTTGCTTTATAAATCATTGTAGTGTATGTTTCATACCTAAAAATATCGTCAAACAAGATTTTGATGCACAAATCTGTCACGATAACCGTTTGATCTTTAGCATCTTTTCACGATGATAATCAGATACTCATACCTTTTACATTTAAATTAAAGCTGATGTAGAAGATGCCAATAGTTAAATTCACGATAATAATAATATATAAGACTGAATTCTATAAATCACTTACCTTGACACAATATACTACTGAAATATCCAGAAATGACAAATATCAAAAAACTAGTCATTATTCTTAAATGTTCATACAATCCATTGCAACTCCTAATTCCACTTGTTTGTGTAAGTATTGCATTATCGGTATTTAAATAAATAAATCATATACAGATCGTGAGTCCAAAGTCGCAAGGGAATATTTTTAATTATGTTTTTGTTTTTTCGTTGACATACCAATGTAAATCTCATAGGCACTTTATCATTTGATATCATCATACTTTTCAAGTAATCGATCCATTTATATGTTAGAAATGCAAATCTTATAAAACAAATCTATAAAACTTTTATGTTTTTAACATATTTTGATATTTAAAACGTATAAATCATTGGGATTTTAATCATATTTTAATATTTAATAGGCAAATTTTCCTTCTGAAATTAAATTTTCATTGTATTCGATTCATTTTCTAGTTCTGATACAATGTTCTGCCCAATTAACATTTTCTAACAATGTGAATATTTTAGAATGATGCATGATACCCTATGAAAGGACAATTTGGGAATAAACCATTCCATTGTTATGCATCGAAAACGCATTATAAATTTTGTTTTTCTCCCTCAAATAAATCGATATTTTGACATCTTTAAACATGTCTCTTTCTATGGCTTTTAAAACTTAGGACTCAGAGCGTTCTTGATTAACTTAAATCCAATATTTTTATTGCTTAAATTATATTTGTTGTATTTAAAAATGCTTCTGTTCTAGCCATTAACTTTTTTTCAAATAAAATTCAAAAGGTAATTTAACAGTTCTTATCAATAAGATTATAATTATATACAACTTTTAAATATATGACTCTGCGTTAAAAAAAAATTGCAGTCTTAACCCATTAATCAATACAAGTTAAATAAAGTTAACTATGTTTAATGAGTTGTTGATCAACCTAATTGATCTCGTTAGTCATAAATTAACTAGTTGTAACAGTTGTAACAGATATGTTTTCATCAAACAAGCTAATTAAAAAGCATCAAAGGTACTCAAATAAAAAGTGATTGTTTTTTTTTCATATGTCATATCTTTAAAAAGCAGCTGATCCAAAACAATACTCATCAGTTCAATAAATCAAAGTATAATACATAATATATATTAAGAAGCGAAAAGAACAAACAAAAATCACATAAAACCTACAATCAAGGAGGGATACACGATGCTCGGTAGGGGAAACATTTCTTGCATCAATAATCAACAATCAATTGTACTAATTCATTGTATATGAATAAGAGAAACTCCGTACAATAGTTAGACTTTCCGATGGTCCGCGTTCTCAATTTCGAATTACCCAAATGTTTAACGTTAGTTTCTTTGGGTTAGCTACAAAGGACGGCAATAGATATTTTCCCCATTTCATGTTTCCTAGGGAGCTTTTCTATATTACTTATTTCATTTGTTAACAAAAGAATAAACTTGGTATTTTTGTCTCCCTTTTCGTAGTCTTTTGAAAATGAAACGCGCGTCTTGTATACCAATTTTGAATCCTGGTATCTATGGCGAGTTTATTCTTGTTAAATTATCATAGGTAGGTAATTCCATTGGGGGCGGGAGCGGCGGTGGTTATGGCGAGAGGGAATGTTCACAGGCATCTTACCAAGTTTTCTTCTTTATTTTCGTGACTGTATGCTTTGAAATGAATTTTTACTACTCCAGTCGTGCTCATTTTAATCTTTTCGCGGTTCAAATGCTTTAGCTGCTTCTGTAAATGAGCACGACTGGAGTAGTAAATTGAGTTTGGGTATTGCTGCTCCAGCAGCTCTAGTAGTACTCAATTCATACTTTTGAGGTGTTTTGCTGCTGCTATTTAATTTTTTTTGTAAATGAAGATTAAATGGTATTGAATAGTAGTGTTTAATAGGGAAATTTGGGAATTGATAGTCGGGGATGTGATGGTTTTTCATAGCTTTTATTCTAACAAAATAGAAATAAACTCATCATAGACATCAGGATTAAAATCTTGTACGCAACACGCGTAGATTTTTTTTCATAAAGAAAAGGGAGCAGGGAACTTCAAATTTCGTGCTTTATTTGACCTTCTGAACTTCTTTTATTATAAGAGTCACTGATGAGTCTTTTGCAAAACGTTGATTTTGTCAGGTTTTATGGACTTCCCTTTTTAGCTTACCTTTCCAAAGGAATTATGAGCTTTTGCCATCACTTGGCGTCGGTCGTCGTCCGTCGTCGTCGTCGTCCGTCCGGTGTAAACTATTTCAAACATCTTCTCCTCTGAAACTACTGAACCAATTCCATCCAAGCTTAAGCTGAATGGTCCTTAGCGTATCTAGAAAAAAGTCGGTGTTTTATTTTCTGTTTCGTCAAAAAACATGTCCGCCATGGCTAAAAATAGAACATAGGGGTAAAATGCAGTTTTTAGCTTAATACCTCGAAAACTAAAGCATTTAGAGCAAATCTGACGAAATAAAAATGTTTATTAGGTCAAGTTCTATCAGCCCTGAAATTTTCAGATGAATCTAACAACCCATTGTTTGGTTGCTGCCACTAAATTGGTAGTTTTTTGTTATTATCTTGAATATTATTATAGATAAAGATAAACTGTAAACAACTAAACTGTTCAGCAAAGTAAGATCTACAAATGAGTTTAATGACCAAAATTGTCAATTGGCCCCTTTAAGGAGTTATTATCCTTTCAAGACAATTTTTCACAATTTGTTCATCTAGTTTGCTTACTTTAAAAAAATCTTCTCCTTTGAAACTGCTAAATCAATTTCAGCCAAACTTGGGCTGAATGAGTTTCATAGTATATAGTATAAATTTTGTATTTTATTTCCTTGTACGTCAAGAAACATAGCCACTAGTTGTAAAATGTATTTTTTTGCTTTTGCAGAAAATATGACAGATACAAAGAACATTGAAATGGCATTTTTAAGCCACTCATTAATATATATTGAAAAGCAAAAATAATCATTGATGAAAGATTTAAGCAAAAAATTACAGGTGAGCGATTCAGGCTCTTGAGAGCCTCTTGTTTGAACTTACCTTCGAGTTCGGTATTTTAATTGATACTTATTTTCTTGTTGTCCCTATAGCCATCAGCTTCTTGCTGTAGATAACTTTATCGGTCTTCAGCCAGTCAACCATGGCTTCTTGTTGATCTTTGGTAAGATCGGCGTGCGTCTTGGTTTTCTTCTTCCTCTTGTGATTCTGATTCTGTCATCCATCATCCTCCGACATCTGACTTTCTGACTTGAGACAGAGTCATCAGAGGGTGCAGGTAATAACACACCCTCTTTCTGTTTACTTCCAGACTCAGAGACAGGCGTATGAGGCTCAGTAACTGGGGTGACCTGGCCTGGCGTCCGTTGAGTTGAAGCTTTAGGATCTTTCAATATTGGCGGCTTTAACAAGCCCCGTTTGTGTAGCTCTTCCTTTTAAGGGGCATGATGATCACAAGGATGCAATTTTCAAGATGCTTCTTATATTTTTGGTGGACTTAATCATTACATCTTGAAGTTGCGAACGAGAAGTAGGAGTGGTATAAACGTGCTGGTATTTTACAGTCGTCGGTCCAGGACAATTACTTTCTGAACGCACTAATTGCGTCGCTGTATTTCGTTTATAAATATCTTTTCAGTCTGTCCTTTATACTCTTGCTTGTGGGGATTATTATCAATTACATGCACAACTTATTACAAGAAATCAAGTCAGCGCCGAACGAAACCTTCAGAAGTCGTTGAATGCTTGTTTACTGCTTGACCTGTACTTACGCTAAGAATTAAATGGACTTTTTACATGTCTTTGTCTATTAGATGTGTGACTTTGTCAATCAACAGATATGTTCGTTTTATTCGGTTCTTGTAGGGATATTGATGATATTTCCTTTTAACAACAAACTGTCGGGTAAATCAAAGATAATTAAACTGTTCTAGTGGAACATGCAGCCAAATGGAAAAAAAAACATTTCTTAAATCACTGGGGATTGCGAATGGCTGATTGTTATTAAAACCTTTAGTCAAATTATATTTGTTCTTTTTTATTGATTATATCTGTAAGCAATTACAATCAGCAAATTGCTATATACTCCATAAAATTTAACATGTAAATAAACTGAAGGGCACTGAATTACAGTGTGTGCGTGTGCTTGTGTATTGGATTGAATCGCTTGTCCTAATCCTGTTGCATGTTTTAAGAAGCCCGATTGTAGATGGGAAAGACTGATTGCTAAAGAGAGCTTGTATTCTTTGCGGTGTTGAATTTGCAGTTATACCAGTATGCTTGAGGAAGTTAATAATAAGTTAATATAAGGCACGTGATTGGCATCTTATAAATTCCCTAACTATTCAGCGGCATGTTGTAAGGCATATTTTTTTAGATTACATAGTACGCCTTTATATTCCAGTGACCGTCTTAACTACCCTTCCTATGTATGTCCACTGTTTTATTTGCCGTTCATTGGCTAATTATTTGTATTTTTAAAGTCTTTTGTATAGTAAAATTAGAATTAAACGCGAGATCCCATTACTATTAAGTTGGGTTTGGTTAAATGATAAGAAAAACAATTAATCTTGAGGGTGTATTTATATAAGTTCGAAACATACGAAAATCTTTTCCCCAAAAAACAGGACTGTATTTTGAGGAGCATGATTGCCTGCGATCTATCATTCAATCATGTACACGAACAAGACCGATATCGTAATAATAATCATAATATGCATATGCCTGCTATGAACTATTATTTTTAGCATCTATCTTATATTTTTTTTTTGTCATGAAACTAACAGGTCTTCTGTATAAGAATTATACCACGAAAAAATACATGCAGAAACTTAAAAAGAGATACTCGAAATTTACACTTTTCTTTTGTATAAACTACAGTTGATTTTTTTATGAATTAATTTCGAATAATGACTTCCAGTGCCTACTGTTGTTCAACTAAATACTGCATGTCAATATATCAATAAAATTGGATTAACTCTCCGGGAAAACGTTATGACTGCATTGTAATACCTAGATCACATCAGGTAGATATTACAGTTTGGTCAAAATGAAAAGAAAGACCAATGTTCGCTATTGAATTAGTGTCGATTGCAATTACTTGAAGGCAAATTATCTATCAAACTTATCAGGCCATATCCATTTCATATCTGCAGTATAATTCCATATTTCATGATTTCTTTAGGGGCAACAATAAGATGATTTATAGCACTGTTTGACAATAAACTGATTGCGAATTAAATCTTAAGTTCCATATTGAGAAAATGTTACAAAAGGTTAA